TCTTCAACTGACTCACTGAGTTCCACCTTGAACTCGTTGAGTTCATCTTCATCATAAGTGCTACTATTCTGTGACTCGCTGAGTTGTATGAACAACTCGTCGAGTCCGTCTTCATGGGTTGGGAGATTGCCTTGGACTCATTGAGTACGTTCATGCACTCACCGAGTCCCATGGTTTCCAGGTCCATACCTATCTGTATTTCGTTGAATCCTTCCTATGGACTCATCTAAATCCCTTCTAAACTAAATTGGATTCCCTCGAATCATAGAAGGTTGGGAACCTAAACCCCCCGACTCACCGAGTCCCATGAACAACTCGCCGAGTCGACTAATGTCCATGACCAAAACTCAGTTTCTGATGTACAACTCTCATCCAATATGTAGATATGGGATCCTTAAGTAGATATAACAGGTAAAGTCATGAAATTTACGTACATGCATGTGACTTTTATGCTCAAAGGACCAAAAATGGGGTTTATATCATTCATGGGGTTCTCATGGCAATAAAGATGGCATCTTTATGCCATGAGGACCCTCCAATGTTCCATATATGAAGGTATATTAACTTGGGACGTCCGAGTCCCAAGAATCAAGCTTCTTGGACCCAAAACTCCATAAAAATGACCACAAGGAGATCTAAGAAACTACAAGTCAAGTATGAAGCTTGATTAGCAGAAAGTGAGGAGAAAATGTTGTTGTTCTTGGATGTATTCCTTCTCCCTTGGGTCTTCTATCTTCCACTTCTTGCTATAGCTTCAAAACACACCAAGAAACACTCAAAACAACCAAGAAAGCTCAATCTCACTTATGGAGGACTAGGGTTTCGAGTGTAATGCACTGGAGGTGATGGAGGTTGGGGTGGAAGCCTCATAAGATGTTTAAATATGGTGCAAACCCTCCAATTTAGGGTTTCACCCAAACAACTTCTACTCGCCGAGTCTGTCTTCCGACTCATCGAGTAGGTCACTTAATCCCGACCTGGAGTCGATCCTACTCGACGAGTTGAGCCCCCAACTCGCCGAGTCCAATAGTAAAATATGATATTTAACTTGAAATTAACTGCGTACTTGGGACTGGGTGTTACAATGCAAAAGTCGGATCCATGTTTAAACCAATCAATCCAACAATTTACAACTAAAGAGAAGGAAAAGAAAACTTACTTCTAAAGACTTTGATTTCTTCTTTCTTGCTAGTTGATCTGATTGATGAGAACCCAACGTAGGGTTTCTCATCAAGGCACGACACATCCAACATGATTCTTCGGGCTTTAGATAGAGATGAGAGGGGCTTAATTTCTCTAGGGTTTTTAGCTAAAAATTGAATGATCTAATGTGTTGGATTCCAAAAATCAGACCCTCTGTTTATAGTAAAGGTTTATGAGTCATTATCAGATAATAAATTGTCCACCAAGTAATTATTTATAAAGCAAGTGTATATCTAGAATATTTGAATTTCAAATCTTTACACTTTAACTGCTTATAGTTCTAAAAGTTTCTATTAGTTAATTATTTACTAAATTACCTAACAAACTAGATCTCTATATTTCTCTTTTTTCTATAATTGGTCAATATTGCATGTAACCCAAAAGAACACTGTCATTAATAGTAATATTACCAACTCGTTGTGACGATGGGCACTATCTTCCAACACATTAGAGCGATGTAAAAACATTTAAGGACATGAGCTTCTTCGTGTAGTCTTACATGAGTCGAAATGAGTTACTATGATGTTGGTTTAACTTTATTGTTATGTTCTTAGTTTCGTCTAAAAGCAGGACAATCTTCCTTCTACATTTCTTATTAATCAGATTTGATCATGAATGATCGATTTAGTTTCTGGACGAAACTTGGTGAATAATAATAAATGGATTTATTATTCGTAACTAATCGACACATAATTTTTAATATTATTTATCGGTTTGATTTTTTGTCTATTTGATCTGATGCACAACATGATCGGAGAAACCAAAACCCTTTGTCTCGTTTCTACATTGTTGTTGCTCCATAAACCACAAAAGTCGAAGAAGAAGCAAATTTGGATGTGAGAATTTATAGGTTTGAAATTTTTAGTGTTTCAAGAATGTTTGGAATTCATGCTTTTGACAAGAGCTTTGGTGGAATGAAGAATTGTAACAGCTTTGGTGGAATGAAGAATTGTAACAAAATGTTGTTAGAGAAGGAGGGAGGAAGGAGGAAGGGGGAGGGGGTTGTGATTACCTTGGTTGGTATAAAGTCCACAAACGATGAGCTGGTCGTTGGATAGGCAAGAAAAACGGCGTTGCAATAAATTTTTATTTTTATTTTTATTTAATCGGTATAAATTAGGTGATGTCCATAGTAAAAATTCGTTCCAGTATCTTTCACTAAATCTCTTTAAAAATATAATAGATTGGTAAATAATTTTTTAAAACATGAGCCTCTCGTACACAACTCATTCATTTGTATGATATAATAACAAATTTTAAAAAAATGTAGTTGGTCATATTAAATAAAAACTAAAAAATATGATAGAAAAATAAAATGAGTAATTTAATGATTTTAAGAATATTATTTGCACCGCATGTTCATTGATCACGAACAAAAGGAACCTTCTTGTCGTTTTCTTATAGCCCGTCATCTTTTGCCAAAATTTGACCTGCCAACAGAAACCGCAAATTTGGGTCGCTCCTATTTCCTAGAAATCGACCGGTTTAATGCCATGTGAAGATACATTGCACAAACAAAAAAAGGTAATAAGATAACACATTTTATGTTTCTGCAATAAGTTAATTATATTTGTATTATTTTACTTAAGATTTAAGATATCTACATTTATTTATTTTTCTTTTGTTTAAGGTGGTCAATTATTAATCTTTATTAATCTCATTACATAATACATATCCAAAATAAAATAAAAAACCTAAAAGGTAGATCTCATAGATTTTTATTACTAAGTTGGTTATTTCAAATAAATAAATAAAAAAAACCTTACAATTGATCATATAGATGTTGTGTAACTAGCGCCTATAATCATATCAATCGTATTATCGTTATCACTTTTAATTAACTAACACACATCATCAAACATAGACAAGAAGAGGACGAAACAAAAAGCAATCGATGGAGAACTTGGAAATCGTTATTTTTATGTTTATTGTAGATGATTCGACTAATGTTTGATAAATCATATCACTATATTATATACTTATATTTATTTGTGTTGCAGTGTAAATAATTAAATAGCCTCATGTTTAGTTACTTGGACAAATTTATTTCATTTTGTAGACGTGTCAACTAACCACAATTGCCTAAAATTTGCAACCGAACACCTATAAGACGAATTACCATCGTTGGATCATCACCTATAAGATCCACCGGTTAATATCGCTGAATCATCACCTATAAGATCCACCGGATAATATTGGTATATGCTATTTTGTTTCTAAAAAACATTACACATTAAAATTCAATAATAAAATATCATTTGTAACATATAAGAGCATTAGGTAAATAGCATTTTAAATAATCGTCAAAAATTAATCCTTTTTTGGTGTTTTGAAGAAAATATATATATATATATATATATATATATATATATATATATATATATATATATATATATATATATATATATATATATAAACTAGAAAGAACTCAATGTTTAAACTAAAAAATAAAATTAAAATATGGATTGCAATACGATTTATATTTACGTAAAACATAAAATTTATTGAAACATGATTAAAATATATAGTTATATTGATAATCTGAATTCAATAATCGTTTCTATAACCCTTTTAGAGGGAATGGCTTGGTTCCACCCTAAGTCCTAGCATGTTGATGTAGACCATGGCATATCATAAGAATACCGTCTCTTGAGCATGACAGAATAAGGAGTTCGACAACTCCTTGCTGACGAGAGAACAAATCAAAATAATATTTGTTTATATTTTATACCAACTAGGAAAAACTCTCTGCACTACGTTTTTGGTTTGTAAAAACTTAATGTGTCATGGGAATCGTAACATGTAAGTTTTATTATTGATGATTCGCTTTTTTTTTTTTTAATAAATTAATTATTGGTTGTTTTCTAATTTTTTTCTTCTATACACAATGAGGTAAAAAAAGGAAAGAGGTGGATGACTCAACAAGAAGGTCCAAAGTTATAAAATGTTAATATAAAAAGACAAAAAATAAAAATTTAGTATTTATAATTGGTCTTAGAGACTAAAAATGCTAAAAGTAGGCAAAGAAGTACGAAAAAACTATGAAACATAAGAACTTTACTATTCTAAGGTTATTGAAAAATTATTTATAATGATTTTCTAATATATCTACTAAAGGCACATATAAGAAAAGTTAGTTATAAAAAATATTAACATAATTAAATATAAAATATATTTATTACGAAGATTATAAATGCATTTCATATTTAATTTAGAAAATATGTATTATAATTAATACATTTTTAATATAATATTTGTAATTAATTATTACTTCAGTTAGGACAAATGGTAGAAAATCTTTTTAATTATATATATAATAATTCAAACAATATTATTCATTATAAATGATAAATTATACATGTAGTTTGGCAAAACTAAAATAACATACAAAATAATAATCAGTCAATATAAAATACAGGGCACCATTTTTTTTAACCTTAAAACGTTTCACTATAAATTTCTTATTGGATGCATAAGGTTTTATTTTTCTCTAATTATATTAAGATAAAAGTTAAAAATGTTATGATGTTATCTGTTAGGTAAGCTAAATAATAGAGTAAAATAGAAAAATATTGTAATAATAAATGATTGTTTTGATTTATAAAATATTACCTTTTAATATTTTGGAGGATAATTATTACAAAGTGGAAGAAGTAAGCCACATACGTCTGAAAAGCGAACTACTTAATTTCGTATAAAAAACGTTTGCCTTTTTTAACATTACAAGATTAATCACAACCGTTGGATCACAAGGGTAAATCCGTCCTTCTATACTGGAAAACCGCCTATATAACGGTATGTTCTGTCTTCTTTACGAAAAGAGTAGTCAGACCGGAATAACACTTGTTTTTCCAACCTGCAAAACCCTAGAAATCACACATAATCCCAAATCTCTTTCACGAGATATCGAGAATCTGCTAAGGGAATGCAGAGAGATGAGAGGAGATTCGCGGCTGTCTAACCGTGGACGGGTTAAAAAATCCACCGGCGGCAGAACTTGCCACCGTAAACACGTGGAGGACGGGTGAACAACGAATTGCTGTAGTTGTAGCGTTCAATTAAATCGTATTTCGTATATTTTTTTTTCTCTAATCGGAGAATTAATTTGACGAATTGATGGCGATGGAGGATAGAAACAACGGTGTGCTACACGGGAAGTACGAGCTGGGAAAACAATTAGGGCACGGAACTTTTGCGAAGGTGTATCACGCGAGGAACTTGCAGACTGGTAAGAGTGTGGCGATGAAGATGGTGGCGAAAGATAAGGTGATTAAGGTCGGTATGACGGATCATATCCAGCGAGAGATTTCTGTTATGAAGATGGTGAGGCATCCTAACATCGTTGAGCTTCATGAGGTTATGGCGAGTAAATCTAAGATCTATTTCGCTATGGAGCTCGTTAGAGGCGGTGAATTGTTTTCTAAAGTCGAGAAAGGGCGTCTGCGAGAGGATGTTGCTCGGAGTTACTTTCAGCAGCTCATCTCCGCCGTCGATTTTTGTCACAGCCGAGGGGTATACCATCGAGATCTGAAGCCAGAAAATTTATTGTTAGACGGCGAAGGTAATTTGAAAGTGACCGATTTCGGCCTCAGCGCGCTTTCCGATCATCTCCGGCAGGATGGATTATTACACACAACATGTGGGACTCCGGCGTATGTCGCACCGGAAGTAATTGGGAAAAAAGGTTACTCCGGCGCGCAAGCCGATATCTGGTCTTGTGGAGTCATCCTTTACGTCCTTCTCGCCGGATTCTTACCTTTTCAAGACGAAAACATCGTTGCGATGTACAGGAAGATTTACAAAGGAGATTTCAAGTGTCCGCCATGGTTTTCATCTGACGCACGTCGATTAATCATGAAATTACTCGACCCAAATCCAAAATCTCGAATCACAATCTCAAAAATCATGCAATCAACCTGGTTCAAGAAGGCGTCGCCGAAGAAACCCAACTTTTCAGGCGAAGATGAAGGTATTCATCTAAAGGGAAAAGAAGGCGAGACACTGAATGCATTTCACATAATATCATTATCGGAAGGATTTGATCTGTCTCCGTTGTTCGAGGAGAAGAAGAGGGAGGAGAAACAAGAGATCAGGTTCGCGACAATGAAGTCGGCAGGGGCGGTGGTGTCGAAACTGGAGGAGGTGGCGAAGGCGGTGAAGTTTAGCGTAAAAAAGAGTGGAGACGAAAGCAGTTTGAGGTTGCAGGGACTTGAGAACGGAAGGAAAGGGAAATTGGGGATAGCGGCGGACATATTCGCGGTGACGCCGTCGTTCTTGGTGGTGGAGGTGACGAAGTCGAGCGGCGACACCCTGGAGTACAACCAATTCTGCAGCAAAGAGCTCCGGCCGGCGCTTAAGGACATCGTCTGGACGTCACCCGCCAATCACTCTACTCCGGCATGAATCAACTTGATTTAATTTGTAAAATATTATTCAATTGGTGGTTTAAATTATTATCCGAGATTATCTATGAAATAATTGCTACTTTGAATTGATAAATAAGTTCTAATTCTGTTTTTGTAGCTTAATAGTTTATACTTCAATAGTGTCAAGGTATTTTGGTGCTTATTTTGGCATTAGCATGCAGCTGTGTGGGACAGAGTATTTAAAACAGTATAAAAATATTTATTATTATCTGGTATTAAAAATGATTTTTTTAAAAGTTGATTGAACGTATCTGATACCTCGGTACGTAATAAGTAGATAAGTTTTCTTTTAGTTTTTGCAAATTCACTTTATTCATATAAGGCATATATAAAAGTATGTATAGTAGTATATGTATATAAAAGTATGTATAGTTATGATAAGATTTATATGGTAATTTGCTTAAATAAGTTATAACTTTTTTTAGGTAAGGTGGAAATTTATTATTTAATTAAACAATTTTTTGTTTATTTTTTTTCCAAACATAAAAAAATGATTATTATCTGTGTGAAACCATAAGAAGTTAATAATCACTCTGAATAAACAAATCCCAAGCATATGTGTATAAATGTAAACAAAATTATTATAAAATATAATTGATAATATATTAAAGTAGATAATTTATACACAATAATTTTTCTTTCATACATAACAATTAATATTTTAAAATATTGTACTGTACAACTCTATAACACATAAAATATTATGTATATAAAAAAACTGTTGTTTAGAAATAATTTCTTAAATTTAAGAATGATTATTAACTTCTTATGGTTTCACACATCTTTAACCCTTCTAATCTTTATGATATCCTATCACATCTTTAAATTTAAAACAAAAACGTCAATTATAGAAGATATTGTTTTGATTTTTTTTGTTGCAATTGATATTTGAAAAACAGATCTTATCGTGGCTTAAATAAAGAAAAATAATATATATTATTTTTTTTAGCGGAATAAAAATGTTATGTGTTTTGTTAAATGCTAGTACTTGAATCCGTATTTTGCCATGAGTCTTACGTGTTTTTGTTGCGTATTGAGAACTTTTACGAGGGAAAATCTAAGGGGACATTGGATAAAACTGAAATTTAGAAAATGAAATGGTGAAATTAATATTTTATAAAGTTGAAGATGTATGGGATGAAATTGATATTTTAAAAAAATAAAAAATAAAAAACGGATTGTCGGATTATATAAATTGAGCGATAAAAGATGAACGTTTGATAATGATATTTTATAATATATTGAAGGTGGAGCAGATGATCGTGATATTTTAAAAAACATAAAGATAACAAATATTATTTTACGAAAAACAAAATTGAGCGAAGAAAGTTATATTTTACTCAGTGATATAATTGTATCTTGTGCATTAAAAGTTACATAATTAGCTATAGTAAATCTTCTCTCAAAATGAAAAGTTTGCATTTGTATATATTTTTAGTTATCTAGTTTTTGGGATAATTATTATATCATTATGAAAAAAAATGTCCCTTGAGAATGACAAATAAGTTTTAATTAAGTTTGTGTGTGCTTAATACTTTAATAGTGCGAAGATATTTTGGTGCTTGTGATTGATAGGGTGATATAACAACAAAATATTGTAAAGTGAGATAATATTGTAAAATATAAAAAGGTTGAAAGGATAAGAATGATAGAAGACTTGGGGTAGTGCGGTTATTAAGGCATGTGCGAAAAGAGATAGCTGTCTAACCTTGAATTGACCACCCCCTGCCTACCAAATTCTACTAGCAACTTGCTTATAATCATCTACTTTTATTGTCATTTGTCATTTGTAAGTTAAGTCGACATGATATATTATTCAAATTGTGGGTTTACAACTTGTATGGTGTATCATGTTTTTTAGTAAGTGTCTTATCTATAAAGTATAAACATACCCATCGAACTGAAGTTTTACACCAGCACTAGATATAGATAACAGTTGTAATTTGATTTTAGCCTATATAATTCATCTTTTCGTAAAGATGCAAAAAGGCACTTTGCTTTGTATATTAAACATATCTTTGATCATCTAAGTGCAATATTTCTTGTACATGTTTTCTTTACTCTTTTGTAATACAACATTCAGAAGAGATATTCTTGTTGAGATTACCTATCTAGTTTTCATACTTATCCTTTTAGTAAACGATGGGAGTCTTGTGGGAATACATTTCAATTCTTTTGATAGTCAATACTCGATACATCTTCGTTTTTGACACATGTTTTATGTTTTATAGGTTTTTCGTTAATATAATATTATTTGGAAAGTGTAACTAGAAATTACACCAAAGAACAAAACGAAAAAATTGTTGGTGTGACATGTGTTCAGTACAGTATCCTTAAAACAGATTCGCCCTATATGGATGTATGCTTTCGAGGATACAACAACAGAAAACGATTTTTCAAGATTGTCAGAACCTTCACTTGGCCGAATAATTGAAAAAAGGTCCTTGAATTTTCTTGATTGACCGGTGGTACATTCGTACCTGATAGAGTTACACCGAATGAACTTTCACAAGTTCACAGTGGCATTTTGGTAATTTCTGGCCATGACTTAGTATGTTGGGCTTACTCTTCGTACGCATAGCGTACATGCGAGGGACCTAGTACGTTGGGCGTACGTGCGAGGGTCCAAACTCTAAAATTTAGGATTTGCAACATATTTAAACAATTTTATGACCCAAGACCTTCACCCTAATTAGTCTCCAAATGAGAATTCGGTCCCCTAGCAAACCCTAAGTGAGAAGAGTGATTTTGAGCTCATTTGTGTGCTTTGTTGGTGTTCTTGAAGAAGAAGAAGTTGGTGCAAGGACCTTGAAACTTGTAAGCAACTTAGATCTGGGATTCCCCACTTGCTAACAACCCTAGGAGGTAAAAAGTTCATAACTTGATCACTCAATCTTGTAGATCTAGTCACTTCTTCATTTAAGGCGCTTTTGGTCCCCAAATATGGTGATTCTTAAGCATGACATGCTCTTGACTAAATAAGTCGTCCTTTCAGACCTTATGAGGGGTCTTGAGTCATAAAAATGTGGTTTTGATGCTTAATTTTACTCCATGCATGCTATAGAAGGTTTTATGGCATTAAGATGTTGAGATTTTATGTATTAAGCACTTAATGGACATGCAAAGTCATAAAGTTGGAAACTTTATGACTCTTGATTGTATTTTGGCCTTGGATCTGCAATTAGACGTGTTAAGTTGGAGAAATATGGTCTTAATAGGTTAAGAAGGGGACAGTTGCGTACGATGGGTGTACCAAAGGGTATGCTGCACGTACGCTGATCTGGCCCTAATGCCTCGGACAACTTGTACGCCCCGCGGACTCAACTGAGTTGACTCGGTTGATTTGTTGATTTTGACCAGTTTTAACCATGGGTATTTTGGGAAAATGTTATTAATCTAGAATGAGTAATGTTTTGACATTTTGGATTTGGGTTAAGACGGTATTTGGGAGCAGAGTATTGATTAACTATTCGTTAGACTACGAAGTGAGTTTTCCTCACTATACTTACGGGTCGAAAAAAACCAAGGCCGGTGTAACAACCCGTCTCTGGTATGTTGTTTTCATGTTATTTATTCAGAAGTTTCATGAGGGACTCGGCGAGTCTATTACCAGACTCGTCGAGTAGAGATGGGATCTTGATCAGCGTATAGATCGGCGACTCGACGAGTCCATATTCGGGACTCGGCGAGTCCGCCTGCCAGGTAGAAACCCTAAATCCCCGGGTTTGCACCCTATTTAAACCATCTTATGAGTCCCAAACTCGTCTCCTTCACCCTCAGAGCATCATTTAGCAAACCTTAACCATTCCCTTGAGTATTTGAGCATTTCTTGTGTGAATCTTGAAGTTTTGAAGAGAAGAAGGAGGCTAGATCCAAAGGAGTAGAAGAAGATCCAAGATCTTGCACCACTACAGAGCTTATTGAGGTAATAATTGGATTTCCTTCTGTTTCTATGATTGATTCTCCATTATAAGCACATTTAGTACATTTTATCCATTTCTTAGCTTGTTTATAGTAGAGAGAGCACATTGGGTTGATTAGCCTTCGGATCTAGCCATGTTTCAGTTCCAAAAACGTAGATCTAACACCTTTATGGACCCATTTTGCATGATAACCCTAGATCTACTCTTTTAAGTGCCTTTTCAACCTTTAAACCCCTTTTCATGCGTATGTACACGTAAAGTTGGAAACTTTACGTGGTAAACAAGCCTTAGAAACCCAGATCTATAAATTGTATGCGGTGGTTTTGAGCAGAATCGAGTTTATAGTAACTGCATGCATGCGAATCGGTGAGTCGTTCTTCGGACTCGATGAGTCGAGCCGCGAGTCCCCGATCTTTCCCCTTTTGAGTGATTCCGAGTGGGGACCAGTGAGTAGTAGAATGGAGTCAGTGAGTCGGAGGTTAGACTCAGTATTGGAGGGACTCGACGAATTGTTCATACAACTCAGCGAGTCTAAGACAATCTTCATAGATTTAAGAACAACTCGTCGAGTTGTTCATACAACTCGGCGAGTCGGATGCAGATAGCCTGAGTTCTAGAATCGAAAGGGAACTCGTCGAGTTTATCCATACTCGACGAGTAGCAGCGAACAGGATTGAGAAGTGAGAGTAGGGACTCGGTGAGTTGGCGGCCCAACTCGGCGAGTCAGGTCAACTGTAAGTTGACTTTGACCAGGAGAGTTGACTTCAACCAGGGGTAAAAGAGTCATTTTACCCCAATGTAGTTATTAGTATTTAATTGAGTGTAATTGTGGAATTGTAGCCGGGGAGATACCGGAGCAGCAGCAGATAGCTTCCAGAGCCATACACTCAGCAGCCAGATCACGAGGTGAGTTTCCTTCCAGTAGGAACGGGTCTAAGGCCACAATGCCGGCCCGTTTAGCTAGTAGTAGTTTCCAGAATTCGGTCTGATGCAGATTTTAGTATGTTTGATGCCTTCGTGGCTCAGACAGGATTTATGTGTTATGTGTTCCGGG